TGTTGTGTGCGGTGTCTTGTGTGGTGTGTGCTGTGTGCTGTGTTAGGTGTGTGTTTCTTGTGTGTTGTGTGTTTTGTTTGTGTGTTGTGTGTCTGGAGTGTGAGGTGTGTGTTGTGTGTTGTATGAGGGGTGTGGTGTGTGTGTTGTGTATTGTGTATGTTGTGTTGTGTGTGTGTGGTGTGTTTAGTGTGTATATTGTGTTTTGTGTGTGGTGTGTGGTGCTTGTGTATTTTGTGTGTTGTGTGTGGTGTGTATGGTGTGTTGTGTGTTGTGTATGTTGTGTTTGGTTTGTGTGTGTTGTGTGTTGTGTATTGTGTTTTGTGCGTAGTGTTGTGTATTTTGTGTGTTGTGTGGTGTGTTGTGTGTGGTGTGTGTTCTGTGCTGTGTGTCCTGTGTGTGGAGTAGGTGTGGTGTAGTGTGTATGTTGTTTGTGTTCTCTGATGTGTGTGTGATGTGTGTGTGGTGTGTGTGTTTTGTGATGTATGGTGTTGTGTATGTTGTGTGTGTTGTATTTGTTGTGTGTGTTGTGTGGGTAGTGTTTGTTGTAAATGTTGTGTGTGTTTTGTGTGTGTTGTGTTGTGTGGTATGTTTTGTGTGTTGTGTTGTGTGTGTCTTGTGTGTTGTGTATGTTGTTTGTGTGGTGTGGTGTTTGTTGTATGTGTGTTGTGTGGGTGTTTTGTGATGTGTGTTGTGTGTTGAGTGTGTGCATGTTGTGTGTGTATGGTGTGTTGAGTGTGTGCATGTTGTGTGTGTATGGTGTGTTGAGTGTGTGTGGTGTTTTGTGTGTTGTATGTTGTGTGTGTTTCTGTTTAGGGTGTGTTTTGTATGTTGTGTGTTTTGTGTGATATGTGTGTTTTGTTGTGTAGTGTGTGTGATGTGTGTTGTGTGTTGTGTGTTGTATGTGTGTTGTGTTTAGGGTGTGTTTTGTGTTGTGTGGTATGTTGTGTGTGTTGTGTTGTGTATGCTGTGTGTGTTGTGTGGTATCTGTTTGGTGTGTGTTGTATGGTGTGTTGTGCATGTGTTGCGTGTGTTGTGTGTGTTGTGTTATATGTGCTTTTGATGTGTGTGTTGTGTTGTGTTGTGTTGTGTGTAGTTTAGTGTGTCTGTTCTGTGTGGTGTGTGTGTGTGTGTGTGTGTGTGGTGTGTGTGTGTCTGTTGTGTATATTGTATATTGTGTGTGGTGTGTTCTGTGTATAGTGTGTGTTGTGTGTGGTGTGAGTTGTGTTCATAGGGTCACTATGAGTCATGCTCAATTAAAAGTAACCAACAGTAACAACCTTTAGATTGGCAGGGAAAATTATTTGAGAAACTGGACTCTGTGAAGAAGAATGTGGCATCAGAATTGGAGGGAGACTCACCAATAACCTGCATTACCCAGATGACACAAGCTTATTTGCTGAAACTGAGGAGGATTTGAAGCACTTGTTCAGAGGATCAAGAAACACAGTGATCAATATAGATTGCATCTCAATGTCAAGAAAACAAAGATGGACTAACCACTGGATGGATAGCCAACATCATGATGAATGAAGAAGATTGAAACTGTCAACAACTTTGTCTTACTTGGATCCACAATTAACAACCTTAGTACGGCAATCAGAAATTTAAGAGGCATATGTTGTTATGTGCAGTCGAGTCGCTTGCGACTCACAGTGACTGTATGTACAACAGCCCTAAACTCTGCTCTGTCCTGTGCCAATCTCACTGTCTCTGATACACCCACCCTCATTACCCCAGTTACTGAATCAATCCACCTCATGGAGGGCCTTCCCCTCCTGCACTGTCCCTGCACCCTACCAAGCATGATGTCCGTCTCCAAGGACCGGTCCCTCCTTACCACATGTCCAAAGTATGTTAGACAGAGCCTCAGAATCCTTGCCTCCAAGGAGCATCCTGGTTTAACCCTCTCCAGGATGAATCTGTTTGTTTTCCTAGCAGTCCATGGTACCCTCAATACTCTTCTCCAGCACCACAGCTCGAAGGCATCAATTCTCCTTCTATCCTTCCTAGTCATTGTCCAACTCTCTGATGCATAGCAAGTGATTGCAAAGACCATGGCCTGTATCAGATGCACCTTAGTCTCCATAAAGACACGGTTGCTCTTCAGTACTTTGGAGAGGTCCCTAACAGCAGACTTTCCCATCACAATACGTCTTTTCATTTCCTGGCTACTGGTGCCAAGAGTGTTGACTGTGGAGCCAAGCAAACTAAAGCTGTGAGCAATCTCAATATGTCTGGGTGCAGCCAGAGTGCTCCTTGGAGACAAGGATGATGAAGTTTTGTGTCACATACTTAGGGATGTTGCTAGGAGAAGTTAATCCTTGGAGAGGGACATGATGCTTGGAAAGGTGGAGGGACGCTGAAGGAGAAGACCCTAAATCAGGTGGGTTGACACAATACAGTGACCACAGCAACGGGCTTGTGTGTGTCAGAGATAATGAGGGTGACACAGGACAGGAGAGGGTTCAATCTGTCGTTCGTCGGGTCCCTGTGAGTCGCACTCGACTCGACGGCACCTAACCGCCACCACCACTCTGCCCCAAAGCATTGGTATGAGTTGGAGTAGACTCCCTGGCTGTGGTTTGGTTATCAGAAGAGAGAAGGACGCTGGGACAGGAACACCGAGTGCTGCCACTACGGCTTCCAGTTAGCTCACTATCCCACCCTCGAACAGCTCCCTCCACCGTGATCTCACATCCAGGCACGTGACTTGGTTTGGCCAATGGGACATCAGCAGATGCCTAACCAGCAGTGACTTGGAAAGAGCTTGACTATCAAGGCTTGCTCCTTTCATTGCTCTTGAGAACTCCAAGAGTATGATACACCCAGAACCTGAGGATGTGAATTCACTTGTTGCTAGATGCTGTCGAGGCAAGTATGACTCATGGTGACCCTGTGAACAACAGATGTGAGCCCTGTCCTATCTGTACCATCCCCACCATCCCTGACACGCTGAGCCCATTACAGCTGGTGGGAAGTCTTCTCTTTTGCTGACCCTCCACCTTTCCAAGTATGATGTCCTTTTCAAGGGAATAGCCTCTCCTAGCAACATGGCCGAGTATGGCAATGACAACAAAATGTATTAGGACGTGATATTTCTGGAGATTAAATTCTTTAAATGAGGGAGTTCTGCTGGCCTAGTGGCAAGAAGCTGCACTGCAATCCCAGAGGTGCATGGTTCGAATCCACCAGATGCTCTGGTGGAGAAGGAGGGACAATTTCCCTGTACCAGTCAGTTCTGATTTGATTTGATGCTACACACACACACACACACACACACACAATAATAACATAAAATGAAATAAAATTTTAAAAAATTCTTTAAATGAAAATGAGGCTACACTAGATTAGGGTGTACCTAAAATCCATTGATTCTGTGTCCTTTCAAGAAACCCATGAAGATACACTAGGAGGAAGTCTACATGATGGAAGTCAAGACTGGAATGAATGATACAGCTATAAATCAGGGGTGTCAAAGATGTCTGGAATCCACCAGAAAGTGGGAGAGAGGTACAGAGTTAGCCCCCTCAGAATCTCCAGACAGAACAGCCCTGTCGACACTGTGTGAGTCTGTAACCCAAGTGCTTAAGCAGTGTGCCACCAGGGCTCCTTACTAGTAGAAGCACTGGTTGACAAATGTCAGGGCTGGGATTTAAACCCGGGGACTTCAAATCTTAAAATTTGCACTCATTCCACAGATGCTTCAATATTTCTCTTTTTCTTTTGTGTAAATGCCACTTTAAAACAAACAAAAAAAAAACAAAAAACACCAGTATTTTTAAAGTAGTCTATTCTCATACCCCAAGGCAAAAATCTTGGCCTATGTCACCGCCACCCCTGTGCCATCTTGCTCCAGCCACCCGTGTCCCCAGCCAGTCGTTCCCTTTGATCCCACTTCTGCCCACTCCCTTAACAGTCTCTTTTGTGTAAAAGGGCAGGAGGGATCACATCAAAACAGAAAGCATATCATCTCACCTCCCTCTCAAATGATCCCTAGCATCCTACCATCCTCAGCACAAACCAGCAATCCTGACCACAATGGACATAGCCTACCATGACCTCTGGTTCCTCTCTGTCCCCCTCTGCATCACCAAGCTCCTGTCACATGGACCACCAACTACATCACTCTTCCTCAAACATGCTGACCATGCTTGTGTCTGTGGGTTGTTGCATTTTTCTCTCTGCCAGCAACCCAGTTCCCCAGATTTTCACCTCAGTTTTGTCCTTGATTAGTTCGGTTTTCTGCTCTTAGTTTCCTCTTCTGAGTAGTCTTCCTTAATGGACCTATCTAAAAGAACTCTCATTATCCCCCGTTCCTGCAAAGAGTTCTTCTTAAAACTTGTCTCTCTTTATTGTATTGCTGTAATGTGTCATCAGTTTGGAACTGACTCGTAGCTGACCCTCCATTGCATTTTCAGAGGCTGAAAAAGGTGGGAGGACATAGCCCATCTTTTTTCTAAAGAGCAATTAGTGATTTGAACTGCATGCCTTTGGGTTGGCAACACAGCTCCTTGCCACTCAGCCACCAGAACTCCTTATCTTCAATACTCAGTTATGGATTTGTCTACCCAACGAGAATGCCAGCCCTTGAGGGGAGAGGACACGGGTGTCTTGTTAAGAATGCCTGGCAGAGCAGGAACTTGGAAATTATTGGTGAATAAAAGGAAGAGTGAATGATTCAGAGCTCTAGAAAGGACTCCTGGAAATCAAGGCCTTAAAATAAGAATTTGACAACTGATGTGATAAAGCAGAGGGTATTACCTTCTGACGACCATTCAGGTCTTTGGGGTATTCTTGGGTCTGGTCCTCTCAATCACAATTTCTCAGTTAGGGTGGTGGAGCCTTGCGAGTGGGGTGGTTCTATCATGGAGCTGTCCCCTGGTACTGTCCCAAGGTTATCTAGCATCCTTGACCACCTGATTGCCAGTGGGGAGCCCCAGTCACAGTGACAACAATGTCAACATCACTCACGTTACCTTTCACGCTCATAGAAGTCTTACCTCCATCCACACCCATGACGAAACGGCCCACGATGAGCATCTCAAAGGCTCCTGCCTGGAGGGAGCAGGCCATCAGTAATGCAGCAGTAATTGCAAACCCATTGTTGAGCAGCAGAATATATTTCCTGGAAACAAAGAAAGGCTTTAGTGAGGATGTCCACCATAAGGTGAATCTTTGGTCTCTTTCTGGCACGGTCTGTCCATCCCAGAAAGAGGAGTGCAGGCCCTCCAGAAGGTCAACAGAGTAAGACTCAGCCCTCACAAAAGATTGACCTAGGAGTCAGGAGTGTGGGTTCCTGACCCTTTACTCTGCTTTCTTTTTTTTAATTTGGTTTATTTTTTTATTTTATTTTATTTTATTACTTTTGTGTGAGTATACCGTCAAATCAGATTTGACTGGTACAGGAGGAGATTGTCCCTCCTTCTCTGGCAGAGCATCTGGTGGATTCAAACCGTGCGCCTCTGGGATTGTAGTTGCAGCTCCTTGCCACTAGGCCACCAGAGCTCCCCTACTCTGCTTTCTAAAAGTGTGATTTTGAACAAAGCAAGGCAGTTCTTTCCTTTGGGCTCACCACTGGGATAGAGGAGGCCTTCTTCAAAGGTACTGTCAACACTTTGTCATCCTATGAATTCCCTGCTGCAGAGAATTCATCAGCTCTAAGACCATCATTTAACACTTCTGAAGCCAAGATGCATCTTATAAATTCATGAGTTCTATCCAGCAGAGGGGATTCCCTAGAAAGTGACATCATGTTTGGAAAGGCAAAGTGTCAGCAAAAGAGAGGAAGACCCTTGTCCATCAACAAATGAATGGGTAGAGAAGCTGTGGTATATTCACACAATGGAATGCTATGCTGCATTGAAAAACAAGGAACTCATGCAATATTACTCAAAATGGGTGAGCCTGGAGGACATTATGATGGGTGAAGTATCTCAGTCACAAAAGGACAAATACTGCATAATGCCACTGTTGTAAAACAGGACTGACATAGGGGTTGGGAGAGGGGGACACTGAGAAAGATGGGATTAATTATGTATACTGCACTGAAATAGATGAGGGCGGGAACTGTTTAAAAGGGATATATGATTAGGTATTATTGTCATAACAGGAGTCCAGAACGAAGGCACAGTGGAGTGGACTTGGGCGGAGGGGTTGTATAACAATCAAGGAATTTTTATTTTACTTTTCAAAGAGAAGAGTGAACCGGGGGAAGGCGTGGTCAGGGAGAAAAGTGCAACAATGAATGAATGGAAATCCAAAGTCTCTGTAAATTTTCATTGAAATTAATAATAATAAAATTTTAAAAAACAATGACAGTTTAATTTACTTTTCAAAGAGAACGAACTGGAGGGGAGAGGTGGGAAGGGAGAAAAGTGCAGCAATGAATGAATGGAAATACAAAATATCTGCACATTTTCATTAAAATTAATAATAATAATAATAAAAAGAAAAAAAGAGAGGAAGACCCTTACCCACATGGATTGACACAGTGTGGGCAGCAAGGGGCTCGATTGCATCAGAGGTGCTGAAGATGACACAGGATGAGAAAGAGTTCTGATTTGTTGTTCTCAGGGTTGCTATGAGTCATACTCAGCTCAATGACTCCTAACAACAGCAACGATCCCGCAGAACTTAGTGTCATTATTTTAAGGAAAATAATTTAATACAGGGACTAGATAAGCAGGTACTAAAGGACTAATGTCAGGCAGATCTGTTTTGTCAAGGGCTTCTTTTCAGTGCTAAAGAGCAAGGAAGTTGCTTTAAAGACCAAGATGTACTTGGCCCCAAACAAGGTATTTTCATTAGCTTTACATACATGTGAAAGTTGGACAGTGGATAAGGAAACCTGAAGAAGGACTGATGCCTTTGAATTGTAGTTCTGCTGAAGAATTTTTAATATCTCATGGACTATCATAAAATAGAAACAAATTGATCTCGGAGGAAGTGGAACTAAGATGCTTCCTTGGAAATATTTAGAAGGACAGTTAAACTTCATGTCACACACTTTGGGCATGTAACAAAGGAGGGTCTGGTCCCTGGGAAAGGCCATATATTTAGACAAGTAGAGGGTCAGTGAAGAAGAGGAACGCGTTCCATGAGACACCGTGATTGCAACAACGAGTGCAAGCAGAGCAGAAATCGGTGAGGATGGCACAGGATCCGGATGAGGGTTTTGTTCTGCTCTGTGGAAGGTCTCTATCGTCACAGCCCAAACCACAACACCCAACAACGTCAAAAGAGGGCGTGTCTCTGTGGAGAGCCGCTGGGAGCTTGTGCTAATCTTAGGGGCTTGGAGTAGGTGCAGATCTTTAAAGAGCTGCTTCAGACATTTGGGAGCAAGAATTATACAACTGAAACGGTCACCAGGAGCCTGGTTCTGAGGCACGGACAAAATGTGGAAATGCAACCAATCGCCCCTGAAAAGTTCACTGCTGGACAAACGAGGAGCCTCAGGCCAAAAAGCCGGCGTTTCCTTCCTCCTGCCTCCCAGGCTCCTTCCAGTGTCCCTGTCTGTGGAGTCTATTTTTTTAAATTGAGATTTTAATGAACATCTATAGAGAACTTGGATTTCCATTCATTCATTGTTGCACATGTTCCTCCTGGCCTCCCCCAGTTCACTTTTTTCTTTGGGAAAAAAAAATCTTTCATTGTTATACAGTCCCTCCCCCACCCTGGTCCACTTTACTATGCAGCTCTTATTCAGGACTCTCGTCATGCCAGTAATACTTTATCATATATTCCTTTTATACAGTTCTCTCCCAGATTCTATTTTTTAAAATAAAAGTTATTTTAATTGTTATTTTAATGAATGTTTACAGGGAAGTTGGGTTTTCACTCATTCATTGTTGCACCTCTTATCCCTTCTCCCTCCCTCAGTTCATTTTTTAAAAAATACTCATTCACTGTTGCACAATTACCCACTTTCCCCCACCCCCTAGTCCTCTTTGTAATAGTGTACCTCTTATTCTGGGCTGTTGTCATAATGTAGAATATCTAAGCATATATTTCTTTTAGGCACCTCTTTCTTTCATCTTTCATCTTTCTTTCATTGCAATGCAATGACCATTATCTATCATATTTCCCCCCAAACCCCCATGTCAGACCTGCTTTATAACAGTGCTGCTATGAGTATTTGCCGTTTTGTGGCTGAGATATTTCACTGAGCATGAAGTGCTCCAGGCACACAGATCAACAGAATACACTGAGAACCCAGAAATCAGCCCATCTACCTATGCTCAACTGATTTGTGACAAGGAGATGAAGTCATTTGAGTGAGGAAACGACAACCTTTTTAACAAATAGTGTTGGCAAAATTGGAAAACCATCTGTAGAAAAACTTCAGGCAGGCCTCCCCCTTCCCCCGTTTTAAAAAAAAAATCAACTCAAGGTGGATCAAGGATCCAGGAATAAAAGCAAAGACTGTAAATTTCATTAAAGAAAAGCTTGGAAGAACTCTGGAAGCCTTAATCCACAGTAGGAAGAGTCTTCCAAGCATAATGAAAACCTACCAGGAGAGAACAGATAGATGTTTGTAGATTCTCACAGGCGGCATGAGGAGGTAGTGGTGGCTCGGGGGTAGAACGCTTCCCTTTCCTGCACAGGGACCAGGCTTGAATCCCGGCCAACATCCTCACGTACAGCCATCACTTGTCCATCACTGGAAGCTTCTATGTTGCTGTGATGCCAAACAGCTTTCCATAGAGCTTCCAAACTCAGCTAGACTAAGACTCAAGGGCTATTGATCTACTTCCAAAATCCAGCCAGGGAGAAGCCTTATCAATCACCATGTTCTGATCTGAACAGATCATGGGCATGACAGAACCAGGAACAGTTTTGTTCCACTATGCACGAGTTGGAGGGTGACTTGACAACACATTAACAGAAACAAAAGGCAGCAGTTACAGAGAACAAATGAAGCATGGAGATCCCAGACCTAGCGTCAGAAGTAAAACACTGAAGGGCAAGTTTTGAACTGAGAAATGATAGTTTGGTAATTGATATGACATTCTACAGCTTTAGTCAACATCATTTCTTTTTTCTTTCCTTTTCTCTCTCTTTGTCTCAACGGTTCATAAAAGAACAATGATTCTTATATAGAATGGTAACTTAGAAGACTACAGTTGCTGTTGTTGTTATGTTCTGTCAAGCCACCTGCGACTTATAGTGATCCTATGCACGTCAGCCCTAAATCCTGCTCTATCCCTTTCCAATCTTACTGTCTCCAACACACCTACACCCATTACCCCAGTCACTGAATCAATCCATCTCATCAAGGGTCTTCCTCTCCTGCGCTGTCCCTCCACCCTTCCAAGCATGACGTGCCTCTCCAAGGACTAGTCCTGCCTTGTAACATGTCCAAAGTATGTCAGATGAAGCCTCAGAATTCTTGCCTCCAAGGAGCAGCCTGGATTCACCCTCTTCAGTATGAACTTGTTTGTTCTTCTAGCAGTTCAATGCTTTTCTCCAGCACCAAAGCTCAAAGGCATCAATTCTCCTTCTATCATCCCTAGTCATTGTCTAGCTTTCTGATGCATAGCAAGTAATTTCAAAGACCATGGCCTATATCAGGTGCACTTTAGTGTCCAGACGGACATCGTTGCTCTTCAGTACTGTGGAGAGGTCTCTGATAGCAGACTTTCCCAATGAAATTTATCTTTTAATTTCCTGGCTGATGGTACCAAGAGTGTTGATTGTAGAGCCAAGCAAACTGAAGCTGTTGACAATCTCAATCTCTTCATCAGCCATCATGATGCTGTCAATTACCCAGTGGTGAGAATCTTTGTTTTCTTGTTGTTGAGCTTCACTCCATATTGAAGGCTGCCGTCCTTGACCTTCTGCAGCAGGTGCTTCAGGTTCTCCTACAGTTTTTACTATAGTCAGGACTACAGTACCAGGACTAATCCCTTCACACAAAGTCAGGCAAATCCCAAGGCAGGTGATAACTATTAATCACTATGGGCCAGGGCAGCACTCACTGTTTATGGAAATATCCTAAGACACGTGATTTCTATGGATGCCTGAGTGCCTAAGTCCATTCTATGTTTAATTAGCTAGATATCTTTGTACTTTATCAGTCTCTTTTCATTTTGTCACCTGCAAAACAATGAGAATAGTCGTAATTAT